GGTATATAATGTCAAACAAATAACAAAAATATCATACACTCTACGAAATTCAAAGGCTGCGCTTTACGACTTTATGTTTCTTCTTCTATTTTCTTTCTACGTTCATGCTGATGCAAGCGAAACTATTCATCGTATTATCGCTCGCTTTTCGTGTGTATGTCTCTTTCTCTTCTATTCTGTTGTTTTTAATTACGACGACCGAAACAAATGTAAAAATAAAGAACTTGGCGAGATATGAATGAAGTACGAATGGAATGACACGAATAAAAAATCAACAACAGCAGCAGCAGCAGCAGCAGCAGCAGCAGCATAATATAATTTGAGACAGACATGATTCGAGCGGTTCGTTGAACAACCGCATTATCATTTTTGTTCTACGATGCCTCCTAATGATTTCATATTCGAAAGAAAAGCATAATTGAAAGCGAACACACTGGTTCACCTTCATCCCTGTAAGCCGCAACCTCGTAATAAAACCGAAAAATAAGAAAAAACGGTGTATCTTCAATGCTTAAATTTGAAATGCTGTTTGTAGTTGTAAACGAGAAAACAGAGTAGGAAAAAAAATCCAATGTGGGATTCGTTTTTTTTTCTCCAAGAAAAGTCCACATAATCTTCATATGATTAAGCTACAGCAGCAGCTAGTTATTATTATGTAGAAATTCAGAGAGCTTTGGAAAAGAACGAGAAGGAGGAAAAGTGAAAGAGAGCAAAAAATTGATCCAAATGAAATTGTAAATATTATTGCCCACATATAGACGAATGCAACTCATAAAATGCTATATACTTTTCTAGTCGACCGCCCGCTCACTTCATTTGAGCTCAAGAGCGAGCGAAACCAGGATGAATGACGATGCTAACAACGAACCTACGACAAGACACATCGTCTATGTGATACTTTCCACACGTTTGCGCCGCCATACGAATAATGTAGCTTTAAGTGTGTTTAACGGTCGCGAGACAACTTTTCCATCATCACATAAATATACATGAGATGAAGAAGGAGAATGGCGTCACGAGAGCATCAACAAGATGCTATGCATCTGAATTTTCGTATTTTTTTTTCTTCATTCAGGTCGAATTGCTCTCTTTTTTCCCTCTTTAATTAAATTCTTCATTGGCGTTTTATTCACTCTCTGTGTCTCTCATCACATTCAGCCATTTAATGCTGGAAGGGGAAAAAAGTAACTATTTAAGCGACCGACGACGACAAAAGCGAGCAACGAGTGGAAATAAGATGTGGTGAGAATCCGTTATGGCAAAATGTGTGGGTGCAAAATGCTTACAGTTCAACAATACCATAACTGATGAATGTGCTATTTTCGGTGGCACAGCAAACGCTTGCTTTCGCATTTGCTGCATCTTATATTTCGGTTGATTCCCACATGGATTTCGAAATTATTATTTACACATTCATGCATGTGTGTGTGTGTGTATGTGTGTGCAAAGTGCGGACGCGTGTGCGTGCATGACAACAGTAATACAAATAACATGAGATTATCTCATACAAACTGCATTTTATCATTTCAATTCTCAACCCTCTCTCTACTTTTCTCTCCCTTTAACTCTCTCACACTCACATAAGATCAAGCTTTGAAGCGACGATAACAACACATAAAAGTGATGCTCCACATTCATGAGCACACCAAACGGAGGAGTGGAAAAAAATTGAAAACGAACAAACACACACAAACGTATACGAGAAGAAAAAAAAACCGACGAGACTGAATCATTCCGTTGACATTTTATTGTAAAGTTTATGATCTGGTTACTTGATTCGGATAGCATTCGACCGAAAATAAAACAGTTCATTTTCGATCATTTTATTTCGATAAAATTTCTTTATCAGTCGTACGCATTCCGTGTGCGAAACCAATGTAATGGTGCGAATGCCCATGATGATGATGACAACGATGATAGCGGTAATCATGGACAATTCCTTCGAAGCATTTCTGCATTGCAAAGACATATAAATAATGAAGAAAGGAAGAAGAGAAGTGAAAGAAAAAATCACTGAGAGAGCAAAAAGAAAAATAAAACACAAAGATGAACACAAAACCACAGCATCGAATCAAAATCAATGGCGTGTGATGAATAAAGATAAAAACCGAGGCATGGAACATACAACTTAAACGTATGCTCAATGGTTTAACCTTTGCATATATAGTTTGATTTCATGTTGAATGCTTGCAATTGCAAATTTTCATTTGCTTTTTATGGCGCGCTCGCACACACAAGCACGCAATAACCGAGTGGTGTGCATTGCTATGTGCATATTTTCGTTCGGTTTTCGAATAATTACACTGATTGCCCTTCGCATAGACAATTATTAAAATAAACCCAGACAATGACGCACGCGCGCGCGCGCGCTCGGCATGTCTTCATCATGAGGATTCATCTGAATAATAAAAACGATGAACGAAAGAAAAAATTAGTGTCAAAATGCGTCGTCATTGCCTTTTTTCTTGCTTCGGTTTGTTTGGTTTTTGTGCACATCCTGTCATAACGAGCGCTAGAGAGAATAACACCATGTTTTTTGTTTGGTCTGTTTTTTTTTCTGTCTTGTTCACAGTATGCGTTTGTGATTCAAGCATTTTGTTTTTATCATTTTCCTTTAAAAATTGTCTATGCGCCTGGCACCTTTGAACGGGCGAAAGAAAGGAAGATAGAGCAAAAAAAAACAACAGAGAAAAAGAGAGCGAGTACAATTATGATTGTTTCTTACGGCGTTATGTGCAACCCCTTACAAAATTTATGCGATACGATTATAAATTCGTATCAAGCAGCAGCAGCAGCAACAGCAGGAGCAGCAGCAGCAGCGTCAGTCGCATGCTGTGCAGTTGTATTTGCAAAAATACACGTATATCCATGAATCATTCATAATCTGTCTATCTTATTTCGTCATTCCCTTTAACCTTTTGCAAAAAAACAACGCGAACGAGAGAAAGAGCAGGAAAAAGCTCGTTCTTTTCAGTACATTGTACTTTGATTTTTGTCGGTGAACCGTATGTACTGCATCTTGTTTCCAGTCTTGTTTTCTATTATGCTTGTGCTGAGAGAGAGAGAGAGAGAGAGAGAGAGAGAGAGAGAGAGAGAGAGAGTGAAAGAGAACGGAGACGATGCGGTTTGTGTTGTAGTTAGAAGGTTTTCTGCTGTCGTTGCTTTTAAAAATTATTACACAAAGTACAAACAAAGCATCAAATATGATAACACAACATAATTTATTAAATCTAATAGAAAAGTAAAACTGTGCGAAATGTGTGAAGGATGAAAATTCGGGTCGTGAAGACTTCACTGAACTGTCATATTATTTAACAACGATCGTGAGCGTGTGTAAGCCCTCCGTTTGTGTGTATTGTGTACTGAATTTTACACTTCTGAGTTCGAGTTCGTGCCTGTTGGTATGTTCGTTGGTTCACACCACCATTCCAACTTTGTTTATCACTGATTCCCGTCACTTGCTCTCATCCTTCACCTCCTGAACCAAACCATCTGCACCATCTCAAGCTACATGGATTTCATTCGCTCGTTCGGATTTGGATGCCGATTATGAAGAAGTGGCATTAACATTGTGAACGATTTCAGTAATTGCTGTGCAAATTTGCTCTTTTATTATATCGTTCTTTCGTTTGCCGCTTCTTCCACCCTCTTTTTTGTTATTCACGCTTGCATGTGTGTTCATCATTAATTTTACTACTTGTCGTCCGCTAACGTCATCACGTTCATGTTATCAGAACGAACTGCGTTTTGATTACTTGTTTGATGAAAGCATTTCATTCCACTCAATTTTCTCGATGCACTCTCTGTCTCTCACGGGACAGATCTGCCACTGTCGTTCACTCATTCTTTCTATCTCTCTCTCACACTCACTATTTCGCTCACTCCCTTGTTCATTTTTTCTGACTTTCCTCGAAAAAAAATTCCACTAGATATGGTGTACTCTAGCCAACGTAGAGAGTCGTTTCACCTATCATACTCATGCATTTTTTTTTCCATCTTCTTCCTTTTTTTCCCTCATTTCATTCTTTTTGTCTGTATTTCCACTTTTTCCTCGACTTTTTTGTTCGGAATATGCATTTTGGCTTGAACACACCCTTCAGAAAAGCACGTCTCGTTGAACTGTTTGCAAAACGTAATAAGATTACGATTTCACTCACTTCTTTTGGTCATTTTTGGCCCCATCCAGCTACATACAAATTGATTCTCTGTTGTTTTTATTTTATTTCGCCCATCTCCTCACTTCACCAGCAATTTCGTTTGAATGTATAATTATGCATTTGCATTAAAATTTTGTGTAGCAATCTAAACGAACGATATCGCAATTGTTTCCACTAAATTTATTTACGAAAAAAAAAAAAAAAAACAATAACAGCAACGTAGAAAAAAGCACCGAAAAAAAAGTTACAAAACAATAAATTGAGCCAGATGAAAATAAAATTAAAAACGACCAGTTGAATGAGAAATAATAATAAAAAAAAATGAAACAACAATAACATTTCTTTTTGCAGTGCTTTGAAATTCAATGGTAAACTCGCTTTTTCTCTATTTCTACATTAAATCCGCTCACCGTTCTTGTTCATTCACAATTCTCTCGAATAGTTTATTTTAAATATTTCATTTCAAACATTGAATAATAACAAATAAATTGTGTTACAGCAGTGTTTTTTATTGTTTTTTTTCTGTTGCTATTGTACTCAGACACACTGAGAGAGAAAGAATTGTTTGTAAATATTTTTAATGCTTTTGAGCGATGTGTTGTAAAGTGGGTTTTCAGCTTGAGAGAGAGAGAGAGAGAGAGGGAGAGAGCAAGAACAAGAGTAAGAATTTTCCAGCACATTTACAGTTTGATTGTTTGGTTGGATTGTTCTGGGGTCCATATATAAGTAAGTGGAAGGTGAAAAATTGCCATTTAGTACACTTGAGCACTTCGTGCCATAAATCCACACTCTCAAATCAAAGCACACAAAAGGCAACGAAGGACGCGCGCTCTCTCTCTCTCTCTCTCTCTCTCTCTTTCTCTTGCAACAAACGACCAGAAGACACACAGAGAGAAAGAAAAAACGGTAGCAACAAGAAGCATTTTCTTGCTCGTTTCGTTTCGTTTTGTTCCAACCAAACAATTTACTACGTGAGACTAGTTGAAAACGAGTTTTGTGAGATGAATGGAAAGAGAGTGTAATACGATCATAAATTTATATATGTTTGAACTTATTCGGTCAAAAGTCAAAAACGATTAATATTTTTTGTTGTCGTTGTTGCACAGTTTCGGTGCGTGCTGACATTGCAATATAATAAATCGTAGAGTGGGTGGTGTTTTTCTCACTTCAAAGAATTGCAAAGCAGAACATTCATCATCTTTCGGAAGTTTTAAATTGTGTGTGTGTGTGTGTTTTGCATTCTGAAAATGCATTCTGCGGTGAAGATGCCAATTGTAAAGTGTCTGCTATTGACGTTGTCGCTGGTGACTGTGATTGTGGCCGACTGTGATAATTCGATTGTGCCCGAGTTGACATTTCGTTTAGGTGGCAACAATCTCAACTGGCCATGCTATGCCACCAAGAATATCTACACAAATTCCGGACGTTACATTCCGAAAAATGTCATCGCGACACGTTCACAAATTTATCGAGACACTGCATTTGTGGCAATACCACGATACCGTAACGGAGTACCGTTTACCCTAGGTCGTGTCGATTTACGAAAAGGCAAATGCTCCGTACCGATTGCACCGTATCCATGTTGGGCATCACAAGAAGAAGGCAATTGTCAGGCGCTACAAAATGTTGTCGATATTTTCTTAGATCGACAGGTTTGTACACTTTTTTCGGTTTGGCTTATTTTCCATTTATCTTGGTCAACCCAACCAATTTTGGTTTTTTTTATTTTCGTCCGATTTTATTTTCTATTTATAGAATACGCTATGGGTACTCGACACTGGTATCGTAAACAATTTAGCGCAGCCAATCAAACGATGTGAACCCAAAGTCATGGCAATCGATGTTCAAAGTGGTAAAATTGTTAAAATTATCGATCTGTCGAATTTAGTGGTGGCCGCTTCACGATTGCAGTATCTAGCCGTTGACTATGATCAAAAGGGACATGCTTATGTGTAAGTACCATATTGATAAATGATTCATCTTCATTGCAGAAAACGTCAGTGTGTGCAAGTGTGTGTAAGTGTGTATTTTCTTTGCACCAATGAAGTGATTTGTGCTAACAAACTCTTTCGTGAACAAGAGAAGAAAAAGGAACAATAACGAACTCATTGCGCCAATTTGGATGGGGCAAATTGGTTTCGTTTGCTTTTAAACAATGTGAAATGCGAATAAGCTCAGTGCACGAATCAAAAATCACGAAAGCGATTTACGAGATTGCGCAGCAATTGCAAAAGGAAATGAATAATAAAGAATAGCACACTGGCTAATGGCCGTGAAGTAGGTGAAGCGAACAAGAATTTAATCAGTACATGCATGTGCAATTGTACAAACACCATCGCATCACCACTCCGTTTCACTCTTTTCGATGCACTTACTCACCATGTCGCCAGCATAAAAGCGTTCGAACTGTGGTGTGCTTCGCGTATGAGCGTGACGGGGATTCCAGCATTTTGGACTTTATAGGATTTGGCTGCAACTTACTCTTTTCTCCATCTCTCTTCTCCGCCCTCTGCTCAATCCATTCACGATATCAATGGCAATATTGAGAGAAACTGTTTCCTTCTGCGATATTCTTTATATATTGTTCTTTATCAGCACTTTTTAATTCGCTTGAAACCGCATTTGAATTCATCTTCGTTTGTGTTTGTGGCCTTTTTGTTCTCTTTTTCGAGTGGCTTTCAACGCTTTCGCTGAAATGGTTGCGATTCGATTCTCTTGCTGCCGTCATCGCTGCTTCCTTGTGGACACACACACGCGCGCGCTTGAAGTCCCGTAATTCATCGAATACGTTTCACGAATTCCTTCATTTCACTTTGTCTTATCCCCAAACCGAATTGTTCACAATGTGTACTACGCCAACAACGAACACATTTGCCACTTTGGCAAATTGTATAACGATTTATGCTCACATCCTCAACCCACTCGATGCCACATTATTTCTCCCGGACAACGCGCGCTTCTCCATCGAACAAGGAAACAAAATGTGAACACAGTGGCAAGAGATAGCATCGGTTGATGGTGCGCGTGAGCGCATAAAATTGGCATTCGAAAACGACACGGAACGACGAAAAGAGAGTGCAGAAAAAGAAATTCGATGTAAAAACACATCAAATGAATTACAAGTATGTGTTCCAAAGCAAATGCAGAAAAGAATTCGTTCACATTCAGATTGCATCATTTTTCATCCTTTGCCACGTGGTTCGGATTCGGCTTATCGTTTTGCTTTTCATGCATCAGATTTTCGTGTGTGGGACGTGTGTTTTTTTTCTGCTTTCTCACCCTCCATCTCTTTCGAAGAGGAAAAAACACGGTATACTCTTGAAATTTATCCATTTCCAAGGGAGAAATGGACAAAAAAAACCTATCAAACGTTCGACTGTGTGTTTGCGATCATTCACAAAGCCACAATGATAAAAATGATACTCCGCCTGCTGAATGCTATTTCGCCGAAGAGACTCTTTCTCGCACCATCTCAATGCGATGCCATGAATAAAGGCGAAAAAAATTCATGCGAACACCATTTATAAAAGTAGGAAGAGAAATGAAAACAGAGCAAAAAAAGAACATCATGTACGATGAACGGCAGCAGTCGAACTCCAGCCAAAACGTTAAAGATGTTGAACGTACTCAAGCGCAAAAGAATGAAAAGAGAAATGCTATAAGAAACCTGTCATTTTTTAATTTAAATCACAATCTCATTCATGAATCTTTGCTATCTGTGCGCCCACAATGGCCAAATATGTTGCAGTGAGGAGAGAAAGCGAGAGAGAGAGAGCGAGAGAGAGAGCGAGAGAGACAAGGAAAACGCGCGTATGAAAGACGAACAACAACACGAATTCAATCGTGAGATGTGAATGCCATAATGAATGGTAAATCGTTAAAGCCATAAAAATTAATGAGATGTTTCGAGGTTTTTTCGTCTCTGGTTTTGACTAAATAAAAATAGTTTTTTCGGGTGTATATATTGTCGTCGCCGTCGTCGTCGTCATCATTCGTTTTGATGGGAACAAGAAAACACATCAACAAATTCTGTGCAATTTGGAGCAACTCACTTCAGTAAAACATAAATGTCGTTTCAAATATCACCAATGCCATTTTTGAATCGTACGTATGTATGTTGTGAGTGCGCTGGTACTTGCAATTGAACTCACTTGCCTGATTCTTGCTCGATGCTCTCTCCGTCTCTTCCGTGCGCATACACACAGTACGACTACCGCAAACAATTTTCCATTCCGTTCGACTGATTCTTGATGCAAAGTCATTTAATAATAAGTGCTTTTAAATCAGTTGAAATTTCTTTTGCTGATAGATTAAGAGCTTAAGCAAGCTCGTTCTCCCACCTCCTCTCCCTGGCCCCAAAGCCGTTGCGCAAGAGTATGTTGCTCGCTCCATCATATCCAATATAGAGACGATCTATTACGGAACCCAACAGATAAACAGATGTAGAGAGAGCGAAAGAGAGACCGAGAGAAACAGAGCAAAATATTGTGAGAGAATCGCGGATTAAAATTCATTTCGGTTTTTATCAACCGAAATTTAAACCGCATCAAAAAGTCGCAATAACAAAACGGGCACACAAATAATGACTGTTCTTCGAAAAATGCATGTCAATTTTATTCTAATCTACGTTTTTCATTCTCAAATGAAAACCGATTTGAAAAAGCAATCTTCTTAATAATGATGAAGCCGTCTTTTTTCCGTCGTCGTCATCTTCGTTGTCGGCTTTTTCGGTTTTCATTACTCCAGATTCTCTTTTCTATCTTCATTTTATTGCGCACCAGACATTTTCCGAAATAAAATCGCGATACGTGGAATTAATTTCGCATTAATTTACATTTGCATATTCGACGATGCGTGAAAAACCTATTCAATTGCATGAGTAGCGGTGAATTCTATTTCTCTCTCCCTCCCTGTCTCTATCTCCCTGTCCCATCCTCCCGTTGATGTGCATTACAATGAAAAAGTAAACAAATGCAAATGGGTTCGAACGGAATGTTCTGCGAATATTAATAAAATTGATATTATTTCGAATAGTTGTTTTCGACACAGATCACCAATTAAAATCAAATTCACAGTCGAACTTGTATGCGCACACAGACGGAATTGATCCAAACTCTATATTTCCATTAATTAATGTATTTCATTCTCAAATTGCACGTTTTAATTTGCTTGCCGTGTGTTTTTTTCGCTCTCTCTCTCTCTCTCTCTCTCTCTCTCTCTCTCTCTCTCTCTTTCTCTCTCTTGTTTTTCATTCCATTTTTCTCAGTACCAGTGAAAATGGATTACAGTCAATATTTGTGCAGTTATAATGGTATTTTAAATTTTTATTTTCATTTCGTTTGCTTGTTGGCTTTTCAATTCTTTTTCTCGCCTTCTTCACTTTGCTCCAATTTTCTCGTATGTTTGCGTTCGATTCAATTCATCTAAATATTTACAATTTTCATCGGCAGAATATCTAAATAAACCCGGGTATATTCGAAGTGAGATTTCAAAGTTGGTGCATCGATCAATATATGCGATCACTCGGTTCGTTTTCTAGTTTCTATAGCCATATTTTTCGAGTTACAAAAAACAAGAGTAAAAGCAAATATTTTCATTGAAGAACATAAATAGTGGCTTTCATTTGACATAAATAATCGCATTGACTCTGAATCTTGAGTTTTGAGTTGTTTTTACATCAACCATATGATTTAGTGAATAACTTCTTCTGGCTCGTGTGCAATAGCTGACTCCATTCAACAGCAGCCGAAGGAGGGAGAAATAAAAGCAAACGTTTCTCTCTTTTATTTCATGTCATTTATTTCCGCCTTCAAGTGAGCGCAGCAACTTCAAAACATACATCGATAAAAACGTCGGTCGATCGGCTCCATTCAAAAAAGTTGCATGGTGAAATCGGAGAGTCAGAGATTGAAAAACGAAAATGGGAACAATCCATTTATTTCCATTGGAATCGGTTCAGAATAGAATGCACCAAAAACATCAATGCACAGTGCTAAAGTCTCTGATGAATTTTTCGACTTATCTTCAGGAATAAAAAAACGAAAAAATCGCAACGTTGCGATTGGAATGTTTTTAAATCTTTTTTTAAATAGATGGGATATCTTTCACACTTTTTCCGTGATTCTCTTTCGCTCGTCGTTTATCTCTGGACTTTTTGCCGCCTCAATAGAAAGAAAATAAAAATGGCATTCTGATACATTTTAAGAGCATGTGTGTGGCAATGTGGCAAGCCAAAAATTGAGTATTTTCGTGAAAATTTTATCTAATGATATTGAATTTAACTGACCAAAATAATAGCACTGGGTGAGAGAAATTTCAGCAACGAAAATATCGTTTGTGAATGTGCGTCAATGCGCGATGTGGTGTTAGTGAAAGGCTTTTAGTCGATAGCTGTAATTTTCTTTTGTTATTTGTTTGCCTTTGGCCGGCTACTTGGCGCTTCATGTCTATTATTAGTTACGATGGAATTTAATTAACTGTCGAACACCATAAACATGCACGGACATAGCAGCCATATGCAACGAAATGACTGCATTAACCAGAAACTGCCGCTTTTCACGTATAGAAAAGCGACAATAGCAATTACCAATAAAATTTATGCGTGCAATACATTGCAAGCAAAGAAAAAAAAAGAGAGAAATGTTCCGAAATAAAATCAGCAGCTACACAGCATACTGTGTAGGTGTCAAGTGTAGATGAGAATGAGTATGAAATTCATTACCGCCAATTCAAACAAGATAAACAGTACACATACACAAACACACATATAAACCCGCTGAAGTACTCAATCCGCTCATCAATTTATATTGAACCAATTAATTGAAATGAACTGAACAAAACGATGCTAATGATTGACATTTTGATCTATCTCCATTTCAATTTCTCTGTATCTCTGTTTTATTTTCGCTTTTCGCTCATACATTTATTCTATAAACCTAATATTGCAGTTATATCGCCGATGCTGGTACACGAGCTATACTTGTGCATGATTGCACCGAGAACAAAGGTCATCGTGTCGTTTTGCCAGCTGCTGTCGTTGCTGGTTGCAATCGCAACGATGTGCTCTACATGTCATTAGTGCGAAAATCGGATGGTGCAAATGTGCTGTACTTTACCTATTTGGGCGCTGCACGATTATTTTCCATCAAAACGGAACAATTACGACAAGGACTTGGTTCGGGAGCTGTTGTTGACGTTGGACCCAAACCAGATGATCAACCCATCGTACTGTTGGGCACCGATAATGGTGCATCCCTATTTTTCCGATACAAAGGTCAATCGAACATTCTAATGTGGAACACAGAAACATGCTTTAAACCAGGCAATTTCTTAGAAGCACAAAAAGGTGCCGAATGCCGATTGTCGACGCAAGTGATGCCCGGACATAAGCGTTATATGTGGACATTGGAAAGTAATTTCCACGATTACATCACGAATACAGTCGGTTGTGGCGGTGCTTCAATCGTAATTCACCCAATTATTAAAGAATCGGATGATTAAATGCACTGATAAATAATGCAACATGATTTTATATTTTCCTCCTTGTTTTTTCTCGTTTTCTTCTTTCTTTATTTGCATTGATGTTGCAAATGCTAATAAATATTTATTTATTTAAACAGTTAAAATAAAAATGCTTTATGATGATGAAATTAATTTAGTTTTTTATTATTTGACTACTCGAGCACAATCTGAACTCTCAGTTTTGGAACTATAGCCATGACTTTCCATCGATGGAGACGGTTGATTTTGCAGCTAAATTTTCCGCGACACCATTCATTCTCTACAAAAACCACACGACACTTAACGCAACGAAAAGAGCTGAAACACGGTAAGTGGAGATTGATTTGACTGGTACAAGTATGGGATAAATTGTTAAAAATTGAAGGACAAATTGTTGAATTTAAAAAAATTTGTAGGATTCTTAACAATTAATCAAATTGGTTCGATGGAATTACAATAATCTTCAATGGTAAGTATTCTCTTCCGACATTGAATCACTTTTAATCACTAATCATTCAAATTAATCAATTTCATTATTTGAAGTGTTTTTTTTTTTGGTCTTACATCTTCTTCAATAGCAAATAATAAGAAACAACTGAATTGATCATCTGAAAGAGAAATTTGATTTGATAAATAGTTCATAGTACAAACCGATCTATGTATACACATTCCAAAAAATAATTGAAATAACATACCATTTTAAGTGTCTGCAAATCACACTGAAGAATACCAAAGCCACGATAGGCAAAATGTTTGTTTGACTGACGCAACATCATCATAACACCCTTTTGTGAAGTGATGGAAAAGTGATACCAAGGCAATGCGTATGCAACGTTCGACACTTCACCCATTCGCATCGCAACCAGTGCACTGTGATAGCAGAAGAACCAAATCAACGCACCTTGAAGTGTTACCGAATTTAAGCTCACATAAACCTCAAAAGCTCCAGCCTTGGTTTTCTGTGGGGAAGAAAGTTAAAATTAAGCGGAAAATGAATAACATTCTGTGAGTAACGAATGAAATGTTTTCTTTTGAACTATCAAAACAATTTTGATTCGGAGAATCAATAGTACGGAACATTTTTGGAATTGTTTTGATTTTATACGAAAAATTGTCAAAAAAAAAACATAAAAAATGAAGTAAACGAAAATAAACAACAGATGTCTTTTGAACGCCTACTTCAATGAATGACGTCGATTCGAATCGACAAATTCTATCGAAATATAATCAAAAAAAATTTCAGTCGAATCTCGCATATATGGCAACAATTTATAGATAAATGCGTATGCTTCGTGAAAATGATTACATTTTGACATACACGGTTGATGTTGCGGTACATCCGTTGTGAACAAACGAGACAAATGCATTTTTATGACAGATTTACTGTACATTTTACCACACACAAAAAAATACGATTTATCTGGTCAATGATGAAAACCACACAAAAATATTACGGTCATCTCAGAAACGAATTACCTTGAATAACAACACAACATGAAAAACAAATTGTTAACATCAATTACCGTTTCCATTTGAAAAAGACAAAGCGCACAGAAAATGATGCTGTTTATTATTATTATAAACAGAACGCCTGACATGATTTTGAGCAATACCTTTGTTAAACTGGCAAATGAGAGTAGAGAAGAGGAAGTGGCAAAAATCATTGATAAAACGATGCGCAAAAATATTCAAAAGCAAAGTATACTCACGCCAGAACATTCGCATGCAGATCGACCGCTTTGTTCAAGGTATTGTTGATGGTTACATCCTGAACAGACGCTAATTTTAAATCATTGGTCGTTGTGTTGATGTCACATCGTTGCAAAATTGATGTCGTGTCCAGAATCATGGCTGAAACATACTGAGCGGTGGCCATGTGAAACGTACTTGATGCTGCATAAATTGAAACATGAACAAACACTGCCATAAAATCCAGCGTGTAGTGAATGGAAAAGGTGGACATTTTGCGTGAGTCAAGTGGATATCTGTTGGGAAATTTGAAATTCATTGTTGATGTTTTGATGAAAAATGCCGTTTGAAATATTTACGTTTTTCGCTTACACTGATTTGAAGAGAGTTGGCCAATTGCTGGCATCCGTTTGACCATGCCACATATCACTCACTGGAATTATCGTCAAAATAAAAGCGTACAAACAGACAATGACCGACCAACTGAGGATATATCGACGTGACAGTTTGGTGTATTGTTGTTCGGCTTGTTCATAAATGGCTTCTGTCTCGGTTCTTTCATTCGATTCACTCACATCTGCGTTGAACTTTGTCCCTTTATCAAATAGATTTTATTGAGAAAAAAAAAGATGAAAATTCAGTATAATTGATGACATCAAATTTTAAGCTGTAGAAATACGAAAAAAACATACTTTCATTTACGCAGCATTCCAAGTGGTCAATCGATGAACTGATCAAGTGTTTTTTTGAAATCATCCAGACGTAAATGAACATTGAAGTTGCATAAGCAAAACAGGCAAATCCTGGTTCAGTCGCTTCATCAATATTTTGTAGATTTTGAAGCACATATATTAATGTAGTGGTCAATACTGTCGTTTCGATGGACAAATTCACAGCATAGCGGAAAATTGATCGTTTATTCATTGATGGTGACGTTGCCAAGGGCCACAAACACAATTCTTCCAACAGAACCTTACACAATTTCAACATTTTTCCGTTCTGTTTTTCTCGTGTGTGAAAGTGATTCGTGACTTTTCGCAACAAAGCTTGAACTGTTTAGCTCAAAACCATTTTGACGATCTTTTATACGATTTAACTTCGAGATAATTGCACCGTTCGATTCACCTTCGACTAATAATATTTCACATTTATTGATAAATTGGCGATTGAGAAATGCCTTTCGTTTCGGAATGCAAACAAACTTGAAATACTTTCTCGAAAGTACGAAATGAAATCGTGCGGATTACAACTGTAATTTGAATTGAGACAATTGTATTTGATTTACTATGTGACCAATTTCCGTAATTACAATGTAGCCAACATTTGCTTGGATTCCTTCAAGCGTTAGCGAATCAGTTATGCAACATTTAACTAGTTTTCGCTCACAGTTTATCATTTACCCATGTTGAAACTTTGGAAATTGTTATGCTGGTACAGAAAATTATATGTTTGTAGCAGCAGCACGCTTACGAATTCAACTGCGAAGACTTGGAAATGAGAATTTCAATTGGTCATAGAGCTAAACGGTAAGAAATTCTCGTAGGTATAAATAAAACTTGAGATTAATAATTTCGGGTTATACGAAAAACACACCAAAAACAGTAGAAACGAAGGATTTGCTTTGGATTGAAAAAAATCTTTTGAGTTGTCCCAAATAAATGAATTTCAATCTGATTCCTTAGAAAATCAATGGAAACATATGCATACCAAGGTCGTTTTGATGACGACAAAAACTCACAAAAAATTATGGAACATGGGTGTTGAATGTCATTCAACGCCACTAAGCTGTAGACATCTCTCTCCGGCTATACGGTAAACAACAGAACCAACACTGAACACGAAAATGACATGTTCAATTGTGTTTGTTTCGTTAGTTTCAACTGTGCCGCTACGAGAGGTCACTTTTGCCGTTTCTTTTTGTTATTTTACATATAAAATCAATGGTATTAGACGAGGATGTTATGGAATTACGCTATCTTCTCATATGGCAACAATTGGTGATGATTTTACAATGGCCATCAGAATTGAAAATAGCACAGTTGCTATTGAAATTGCGGTAAAATTCGATTTGAACTTGAAACGTGGATTTAGCTCCATTTTTAGTGTAAAATAAGAACACGCTTTCTTATGTTTGATATGAATTGCTTTGATTTGATCCCGCCTGATGGTGAACTTGAAATGGTTTCCTTTTTGAGGATGTGATGAAGTTTAAATAGAGTCATCTTTGAACACTGATATTAGAAATATTTTCGGATCTAAACATTTCTCAGTATGCTTATGACCTGAAATTGGAGTATTTTAATCCCTTCTTCGGATTAATATCTTAATTTTACTATTAAAAACACGCCATAACATTTAAATGAGTACAAATGTTACACCAATTTTGAAGGATAAAATAGTCTGGTAGCCAACGGCAAGCATGGCATGGTTTACTGATTTATTGTGGCATTCAGAATCGTCATAAATTCCGTGCGAATAAAGTTGAAATGAGTACGGATGTGCATTGATCGAAATTGGAATTGGACCCATCAGTGCTATCGCTTTTTTCATCGCTTCCTCGTTTTTTGGAAGAATAGCCCATCGCGTCACATCGACCACCGCCAATGATGGTTTGTACTGACAATTTTGTTGCTGAAAATGGTGGAGTTTGAAATAACATAAAACAAGCATTTTTGTGTAGATTTTGCTTACATGCTTCTTGTTTGCTCGTTATACTACAATATTTACACGCCATATAATGACAGAAACATCAATAAATACGGTTGGTCATAAGCTACGAATCCGATAATCTCTTTATTGCTAAGAAGTTGAACAAAGTTGAGTTTTTAACGTTACACCAATAGATTTGGAATGTTTCCAAATTCATACATTTCTCAGAAATTCCAAATTTTTGTTTCAAATCAGTGCTTATTCTAAGAATTATCGATTTTTTGGTATCATCATCTGCCTAATGATCTGGAACAATTTGAGGATGAAACATTCGCATTCTAAGTAACATTTGTACTCATTTTAATGTTATGGCGTGTTTTTAATAGTAAAATTAAGATGTTAATCCGAAGAAGGGATTAAAATACTCCAATTTCAGGTCATAAGCATACTGAGAAATGTTTAGATCCGAAAATATTTCTAATATCAGTGTTCAAAGATGACTCTATTTAAACTTCATCAAATCCTCAAAAAGGAAACATCAAAGCAATTCATATCAAACATAAGAAAGCGTGTTCTTATTTTACATTAAAAATGGAGCTAAATCCACGTTTCAAGTTCAAATCGAATTTTACCGCAATTTCAATAGCAACTGTGCTATTTTCAATTCTGATGGCTTTTGTAAAATCATCGCCAATTGTTTTTGAAAGGGATATAGTAATGGATAAAGTGAATATATTGTCAAGTAATAGTCAAATCGGTGATACTCCGCGAACGAAGCGTGCTGCAATAGCAAATAAGAAGCTGCTTTGGGACTTTGGTGTTATTCCTCTACTGTTGTCTCCTTACTGATAAGAGATACGTGACAACTGTATGCTTCAAAATTGTAGGTTTCAACGAGATCTAAAACTTTGCTGAACAAAATTCTGCTCCATCGCATATGGGGTACGAGTTATTGGAGAAAAACCGAAAAAACCCAAACAATCCGTATAAATGTATAGAAAAATATCAATTTTTCCCACTGCACATTCAGAGATGATTTGAGCCACAGTGAGGTGTTTTATAAAAAACTGAATGTTCGGGAGGTATAGCTCATTTTCGATGAGGAATCCAAAAATGTAATTGATTTGGGGTTGGGGAGGGAGGTTTACTCACTTTGGGGTTGTTTTTGTACTTTTCTTCGAACAAGCGGATAATGAGACAAATTCAGACTGCATATCAAGGTGACATAATAAATAGCTTCATACGATAATTGTTAAACAACTTGTTGATGGATTGATTATCGTTGACAGCGTGCATTTTGGTTGTTAGATCTATTGATTCCATACTTTCAAAAATAGCATTATAACAGAATCAAGCTTTTTAACAGCATTCAGAGCGAGTTCTTTGAATTTCCATGAATTATTCCGGCCTAATCAGCAGCAAATATGCAGTCTCTGCCGCTCAATGTTCAGTTGAATCGGTTTTGCTCGCAGCTTTTTTTGTCTCTTTTTTGCTAAGTTTTTTTCCATCTCAGTTATAGCAGAAATACAACTCATAAGTTGTTCTCTTGTTCTATGGGCGTCAATTCTTAAATCTATAGAAAAGACATTTTGTTGCATTTTCTCTTATCAACGTAATCATGCGCTATTTTTATGGTTCCAAACATTCTTATATGGGCAGCTTCAAATCAAAATTTATCTAGAACTTTCCTATTTTGAATGTCCATGCACAAGTCTTGTTCTAAAATTCCATAGCTTAAAGCACGTGAAAGTTTTTAGTCGACATACTACTGTCAACTTTTCTATATTTGAAATAGTTCTATTACGTCTTGGCCTTTATCCATCATAAACACTTCTCGTGTCAGCACCAACCAGAAAAACCATTTCATATCGATTTCCAGTATTTAAGTTTATTCCTTTCAATTTGAAAAGGCTTTCGTTATTGTCCTCATGCTTTTATAGCTGCTCAGTGTGCTTTTATTTTTTCACTCAAGCTTAAAGCGAGTGTTCAAACTGGCACACATTTTAAGTAGCGGCAAAGTGTTTAGCAGTCGCAAAACATTTGTGTCCAACAAAATAGAACGCTTGAGAATTACGATGCAGGCATTTATTTTGATAATCAATCCAGCATCAAAATGAATATAAATAAATTACCCGTATTTTATGATGAAGAAATGTGCTGGGCCTCAGTTTAATTTTCTCATTTGCATTGAAAATTCAGCAGCAAACGAAACTGAATGTGAGAGCCGTATTTTCAGCGGCGTAATTGCCAAACTCATTTTACAAAAGAATTTTCGCCATTATTCAAGTGATTGATCAACAGACACACGCTATATCGAGCGTAAGCGAATAAACAAAACATACATCACATCAATAAAAGCGCCGTTGTAAACAAACTCGCAACATTCAAATAGGCGATGTTCGTTTGACTACGGGTATTGTATGGATACGTGTATGTATGTGTGGGTCCGTGCTTTTGTTCAATCGTTCACATGCAAAATTCACACTTGACGATTGGTTTGAAGAGAAACGGCAAAGTCGCATAAGAGAAGTGGCTTTGTGAAGAACAAACGACTGTTGATTATTTACAATCTGAATGAATTGGTGCGTCTTACCATTGATGGCTCCATAAAGAGCCGAAGTTGATAGAGAGCATCGACGAGAAAAGAGTAATCTGTTTGCGAGAATCAATATTGTTCATTTGAAGTATAATATTGTTCTCGATACGATTACAAAATCAAAATTCTTCTTCTTCTTCTTCTTCCTAATCTTTCTAGTTTTGCCCTTTTCCTGTGTTTTTTTTTTCGCTTAATTTTTGATTACGTTGTGCTTCTATTTTAGTGCAGTAAGCGTTTTCTGTTCGGCTTAGGCCCGCTCAAAAATCATGCAAAGGAAGCGATCAAGAGTAAGTAATATGCGGAGGAAAAACGTGCAATCTATCTGGGGTACATGGAGTGTGTGAGTTTTGGGGTGCAGGAAAACAGAGAGATAAAAAGACTATTCATACCATTTGATGTTCTATTAAATACAAAGAATGTTTATTTTTCTTCGGTTTGGTTCGTTTTGACCGAGAGAGAGAGAGAGAGAGAGAGAGAGAGAGAGAGAGAGAGAGA